AATTCCATTCCACAAAACCATATTTCAACCAATCAATCAGAAATGTTGTATAAGTAGCATTTAAGCCGTGAGCCAATGAAAATCAAAGCGGCCTTTTCCAAACACATCGCTAGATGTGTATATTACCAGATGGAATATCAAACAAAACCAGAATCGAAAAATAAATATTACACATTCATCAATGTTTCAGTCGTCGTGAAATAACCCGAGCCAAAATACAGCCACTTCGGCAATCTTAGACGGTTGAGACCTTATGCTATATTTAAAACTTTTACTCTTACCTTCATGGCCGATTAAGGAGCAGACGGCGACTAAACTGTCCTGCTACATTAAAAACATATAACCTTTCCTTTACCACTAATTATTTTAGCATGCTGCTACGACATTTGGTCATATGCACACACTGACGCGCGCACGCGCACACACACACACACACACACACACACGCACACGCACACACACACAGACACACACACACACATCACTACCTATAAAATGCACCATGTGTTTGTGTGTGTGTGTGTGTGTGTGTGTGTGTGTGTGTGTAACGAATGCATGGCCACAATGTTCGACGGATTTGCACCAAAATTTACGTGCACAGGCTCCAAGTTACTGGGAAGGCCAAGACCGACTTTGCATTTCCCAACTCCCATAGATAGTGGAAATAATCGATTTTTTTATGCTTCTACGGCATTTTTCATGTAGTTTGCGGCCATTTTGTACTGGCCAGAGTGAGAGCCTATAGCTGGCTGACACGAATAAGCAGTAAGATTCTATTGGCCAGCGTGAGAGCCAGCAGCTGACTGACACGAATGTTAACTAGCATGCTAGCAGGCAAAAAATATCGATAGCTGAATTCGTCAAAAGTGGGAAAAAAATCTGCATGGCACTTTACTCCAATTGGCTCATTCGCTTGCTTGAACTCAACGTTGATTCTGATTCCGCAGAACTGGGTTGGGTGTGAAAAAGTATTTGTTGTTAACATTCTTTTTTCATTCGGTTTTTCCAGTTACGAGTCCTATTTTAAAGCTGATCGTTTTGTGTTCATTTTGTTTAATTCTTTTTTCATAACAGATTTAATGTTTAGTATAGAGCTTAGAAAAACTTCGCAGTGTGAGATAGGCAAGAAATAAGGCATGTAGCAACATCAGCACGGCTAAGGGCACTCCTTTAAAGACAAAGAAGGGCAAAAATATTTTAAGTCAAGTGATAGCGATTGCTGTATGAGTCGTACGATTTTTGAATTAAGCACGGGCAATGCCGAGTCATACTGCTAGTATATATATATTTACTTTCTCTCAAAATTCTTGACTCTCTAACTCCCATATACGACATTAATCTTACACCTGATATCTTTAAACTTCAACTTTCACCTTATCCTTCAGCATTTGTTGTAATTTGAATTTATCAACACTCTCTTTTAATGATTACACAAGGCTAATATACGCCCAAACAAAATATACAAACACGTGGATGTAACGGTAACGATGACTTCTATAACACATCCATGATGGTACGTATCTTGTATCAATGACGAAAAATCACAATATTTTTTTCTTTATTTACATTATTTACATTGTTTGGATTGCTGTCTTCAGATTCGTTACCATATTAACTCTTCGGCTTTCTTCAGGTGACTGGCATTTTGAACTGAACTATTTATTGCGTCCTGCGACCGATTGTTCTAATTCCACATGCCATTCCCCTGTTATCTCCCTTTAAATAAACAATGTTAATTCAGAGCTAATAACTCCAGAGACTTTCACTTTTCCCTGGATCCTCGGACATCACTTTCAAAAGGTGAAACAAAAAATGAAATTAAAATTTACACTTTTGACGGGCAGTGTTAAGCTTATATAAGTTGACACAGAAGGTAGCGAGGGATGGTGTGAGGGACATGGTCGAGTTTAGAGAGGGAAGGGAGAATTTTAAAATTTATTTTTATATTTCTTTTTATTCTAATACTTAATATTGAGGGAGGAGGTAGGGTTAGGGTTAGGGTTAGGATCAGACATTGCACTATTTAATCGGTCAACTCAACGCAAATGATATATGGAAATGGAAAGAGAAAAAAGGGAAAAAGAAAAATGGGGAAGTAAAGAGAAAAGCGATCAACTTAGGGTTTTCGGAGGAAGAAGAGGGGGTGGTATAGCTTTAGCAATTTAGATAAAAACAGATTTTAACGTTTGACAGTAATTTAAATGTTTAAAAAACTCCACGGAGAAATTAATTTAAAGTCATGTCTGAGGATCCAGGGAAAATTAAAAGTCTCTGGTGAAATAAACTATTACAATGGAGCCTTAAAGTGGTCTGTTTTTCTTTAATATATATATATATATATATATATATATATATATATAGAGAGAGAGAGAGAGAGATAGATAGATAGATAGATAGATAGATAGATAGATAGATAGATAGATAGATAGATAGATAGCAATTTTATCCAATACTTAGCTTTAGTCTATTAGAAAAACGTGTTGGCAGTCTTGTAAATACATTCCAACAGGTATTTACTACTACTACTACTGCTACTAGTATTACTGCTACTACTACAACTACTACTATAATACATCGCCAGGAATAGACACGGGAAAATATAACAACTGACTTCTTGAAAATAGTTAATGAATTAGCCTATAATACTTGTATCAATAATCTCTAAGGATAGTTTCTAACTCCCTGTCGGATCATAAGAAAAACTGAATTAAAAATGATTAAATTATCTCTGTCCGTTCCATTTAATTAATAGCATACATGAAGATTGTCACTTCTTTGCAGAAAAAAGACCAATCTCTTTTCTTGGTAGATTTTTGTGTTTTTAATTCTGAATTTTATTATTTCCATCATTTTACCAGACCTAACGCTCTGCTATGATCTCGTAAGTGATTCTTAAGTCAAGCTTCATGTTTACAACCTGTTACACACGAGGCAAACATAAATTTTATCAATGCCTCGTGTGTAACAGGTTGTAAAAATGAAGCTAGTCTGCACACCACGTTGGGCACAACAGATCTAAAGTGACCAATACTCGCATCAGTTCTGCGAGACATTGATCAGAGAAGGAAATGAACAACAAGTCTAATAGATTAGCATCAAAATATAAATAATTTATCCTCATTTTTTCCTGTATTTATAAGAGGATTCACGATTGGCCAATCAGAATTCATGGAATATATTTGTTTCTGAAGCGTATATATTCACCAGAAGATTACCAAATAATGAAACACTCAAAATATCATAAAGTCTAGAGATGAGAGCAGCTATAATCTCAAAATATATTTCCCAATTCATCCACAGTTCCTATTTTAGCATTATTTTAATAATCATTTTATTCTCTTACATTGGAATTCCCATGTCATCGCGTTTTCTAATTTCTCATAATAAACACGATTTCAAAAAATATTCTCACTATCAATCTTTGTCGCTTCCAAGTATTCATTCATGACTCACAATCATTCTTTTTTCCATTTATTTGCTTTTTTTTCCTTTTAGAACGCATCAAATACAACGATTCCACACATTTCATATCGTCTGCCTATTCTTCAATTCGTTTCTTGTTTGTCATCTCCCTCTTAGTACTTCTGATCGATAGTACCGCTCGGGATTTCCGGCACGCACTGCTAGCCAGGCACGCGTTCAACCCATTTCTGAGGTGGGCAAATAGGGTGGGAACAGCTGTCCCTACTGATCATTGGCTTCAAGTGACGGGGTTGAGTGGCAGAATAGCAAGAATCTTGAATTGTCGCATCTCTTTCTTCTGCAACTCATCTATTTTGCAACAGTAATCAGATAATTTTTGGCAGACGCACAACTGTGTGGCGTGACTGATATTAGCGTTTCTGCGCATGCGTCTGCCGAAATCTCTTGTGAGTGGCAAATTCGACTGAAAGGGGATCTAAATGGAATTTTTATGAATAGTATTTGCGTTTTTATAAATGAATATAGAGAGAGAGAGCCACTGATGAATAAGAGACAGCGGTGTTTACGAATTGCTTCCCAGAACTGGGAGGTGAAATTATTTTTATTTTCATGGGGGCATTCTTCGAGATTCTGAATATCGGACCATATATAATCTTCATCTGCATCTTTGAGTAAAGTGGCACAAGGTCTGAGATGCGAGGCAATTAGTAATGATCGAAATTATAAGATTTACGAAATGTGTAGTGAATCGGGTTTTCTACACGATGCGCAACCTTAACAAACGTAAATAGATAGATAGATAGTTTTGGACTTTATAACGTAACTAATAACTGATACAACAAAAGTTAATAAAAATTTACACGCTACCACCCCTTGTCTGAATGATTGGATCTCTCTGTATCCTTGGAAACAGTAAATTAGGAATTTTTCATTGCCCTTAAAACTCAGTGAATTTAAAAATAAGTTACTCCAAAATTAGCTTGAGGATGAAATGGAACTAATATTTTAATTTAATTACAAAATTCAATTTGAAGATTTAGCTTCCATTTTGAAACATGGTTATAACTGTGTAGCGAAAAAAAACACATTTTAAATCAGTTAATTTATAATATTAATGCTCTGTAAATTTACATTGACCACTTTTGTAAAAAATAAAAGATATCCATAAGAACACCGGATTATATATCTTACTGTTCTTTCTTTTTTATTATATATATATATATATATATATATATATATATATATATATATATATATATATATATATAGAGAGAGAGAGAGAGAGAGAGAGAGAGAGAGTGAGAGAGGTTGATAGTTACAGATTTCATTTCCAGAGATAGATAATTTTGTACTTCATATATATATATATATATATATATATATATATATATATATGTATGTATGTATGTAAAAGAGAGAGAGAGAGAGAGAGAGGCTGATAGCTTTGGACTTCATTTAGATAGATAAATAGATATGTAGATTTGACGGAACCGGCATAGATAGACTTCATATATATATATATATATATATATATATATATAAAAGAGAGAGAGAGAACTGATAATATTGGACTTCATTTAGATAGATAGATAGATAGATAGATAGATAGATAGATAGATAGATAGATAGATTCGAAATTCATTAGAACATTTAATCGGCTCTCTGATACACTGCGTGCAAATGTACACGGGAAAATCGACCTTATAGTAAGAGAGATTATGCCGAATTAAAATCTTAAAGAATTATGCAAACATCTACTTACATAAAATAAATTAATAGGACTTCCTATTTAAATAATTAAAACCCTACAATGTTGGCGTTTGTTTGTTTTTGCCACTTATTTATCAATTTTGTTTAATATTTATAATATCACATCGATTAGATGACCTTGAAATACGTCAGCTACATTTTATGTACATAAACCCTAGCACAACAGCAATAGTAACTTTATGGTCCGGTTCCTTGTACCACAGTGATAGTCCAAGGTAGAACCAATAAAGAAGAACTCGAATACGGATATGGAATAACACAAATATATTATAAACAGGAATATATATAGAGAAGTAGAAAATGTTAGTACGAACAATCAGGTTTAGTAGTAATTGTCTGAACGCGACTCTGTTTCGGACTGCCTCTGACACGACTGACTGACTCGCTCGCTTTGACTGATTGACAGACAGCTGACGGACATCTGACGGGCCTCACTCCAGACTTCAGACTGAACAGTATTTAGTCACCCCCCCACGAGGGCATCATGTGGTACAAGGCCGGTTTAACGTGGGATCTCCGAGCCCGTGGGCTCAGCCAAAAATATGCCCATTGAACCCGTATAAATGGGTTCAAGATCGGTTTACCTTCCCGAAAGAGACTCCGCCCTTCGGCGTAGCTTCGTTCGGGTTCCTCCCCGCCCGAAGGCAGAGAGTTCAACCGATCAGCCGGTCAGCCGGTCGCCCGACTTCAGACTGAACTCGCTGCTTCCTCTTGAGGCGCAGTATTTATTACGTATGGAATAGTCCATTATGTTATTATGGGTACGGCCCCCTAACAATAATAATAATAATAATAATAATAATAATGGCTTTATTAATATACATATGACAGGCAGATGATGACAAATAAAAATTAAATATAAAAGTCTAAATAAACATAGGATTCCTCATTATGAAGGAAACAATTTTGTCAGTTTCAAAAGGAAGATTACCTCTTACCCTAATATTTTTTGGATGCTACATATTAAATTTAAATATATGCTTGTCCTATTAAAGATAGATTGTAGTATAAAGAAATAATCAGCAAATTTTCTTCCGATAACAATTAAGATTCTCTCAAGTTAAAAATTTGATTAGTTAATATACGAGACTTGGCTGAAAGGTTCAGAAACTGACTATGAATGGCTGATGCCAGAGCTGTGAAGTCTTGCACGCATTAATTTCACATTTTCAAATTACAATTGCATTGTTCCTTTCCACGTAGGAGGGTGGGTTGAAATGTCCATAGGGTGACTTTGATGGAGTGATGCAACAGCTGTGATATGTCTCAAGTATCAATTTCAATTTGTCTTATTAATAACTGGAATGTTTCTTTCCAGTTACGTGTGCTAGCTGAACTTAGGCTGGGTCTATAAAATATTTCACGCATCAATTTCAACTCTTATTCATATCTGAAATGATTTTTATCTAGACATCTGACCGCTCAAAAAAGACTGTTTACCCTGTTAGTAAAAAAAATTATCAACATCTGATATGACGTTATCCTTACTGTGATACTGCCACCAAGAGAAATATTTTTAAAGTTGTTTTTTTCCATATTGAGGTACAGATGATAGTCAGACAGGGCCACACCGGGAGAATAAGGCCTCAGCTACGCACAGCGGCCATTGAAACCAAGAACGTGTGTCCTGGAGCATTGCATTGACGAAACAAAACCTCTTTCATCAGTTTAACTTGGCATTTGGTCTTGATAGGCTTTCGTAACTGCCTCAGTAAGTTGGCAGAAGGTCCTCCATTGATGGTGTTGCCATTTTAATTATCTACAATATATATAATGCTTTTCCATTGCAGAAAGCAGTACTATCACCTTCCCTGTATATGAAACGATCTTAGCCGTCTTTCCAGCGGTTAAAGTGTGGTGTTTCCATTTCATGAATTATATTTTTGTCACGGGCTCATTGTGATGACCACAATGTACCTCCTGGAATGAGAAACCGGTTCACTTTCAGTCAGGAGTCAGAAAGCGTAGCACTCAACGAGCAGGTATCTTCGTCGTGTCGAGTGCATTGTGCAGAATATTCTCAACTTTATCATAGCGTATTCTAATAGTGTTTACTTTCTGATTTATAGGAAATTACCTATTAGCCATCATCATGTGGGGAACACGATCAATGTATTTTTTCGCGGTGATGGCATTTGCAGGACGTTCATTTTAAAGACGCTACCGTAAATTCAGCTGTCGACATTTACCTAACTGACAAAGCTGGGTATACATCATCTAACGTAGGGGCCATGTTAGTATGAATCTCCCTGGGGGCTAAAAATTTCCGGCAGTACCTTGATAACATCACGATGTCATTTCTTTCAATTTTCAAGAGAATAGGTTCAAGTTACATTTGAGTTCTTTGACTAGCCAGATGTCAGTTTACAGGGAGAGATCTTCACTACTGGTTACTGAAGAAATCTTAGTCAGATCTTAGTTTACCTGGAAATAAATAATGCAGTTATTAATAAGAAGAGTTGAAATTAATACCCGACAGATTACATAGCTCTAGCATCACTCCTTCGTAGTCAGCCTATGAACATTTCAGCCGCATTTGTCTAGATACACTAACATTTCTCAAATTGTGTTGAATCAATAATAATAGTAAAAATAAAACCTACTATTACTCTCAAAATAATAAAATGACTTAAACGAATAGAAGCAAGCAATAATGCTTACCTCATCAGAAACATTAAAAAAATGTCAGAATTATTTTTAGTCATGTTTAGATGAATCATTTACGACTGATTAAGGATGATTTTTAAATCGGATTTCCACATCATTGCGTTGAATTTAAAGAGGAAAAGTTTTTTCTTCGCTTACTTTAATCTCCGTGACGGATTAATCTTTAAAAAATTCTATTTATTTTCCTTATTATATAGAAAGAGTTTTAAATATGGCAAACACAACTGATGAAATTACGAAAAAAATAATCATGTAAAAAAATCGACATCTATATGCGTCATTCATCGTGTGGAAATAGTTAAGAAAACAGATCCAGATGGAATATAAATATGTTTATCTAGTTAATAATACTTAACAAATAAAAGAAATAATAAGTGGCAATTTTAATTGTTATTTATTATAAATATGCTGTAATGTGGGGGTCTGACAAAACACAGTACTTAACTCGACAGAATCAGTCGTGATAGCAGTAGAATTCCTTTTAATTTCCTTACTGTTGCAATGCGAACTAAAATAGACAAGAAATGCACATCTAAAATTGTTTATACTGTGATTTGATAGTCCGAAATAGTTTACTACAGAAATATAATTAGACATTTGCCTAATCGTCTTTTTTTTGTGATTCTTAGAAAATGGCAGACAACTACGGTATTTTTCTTTTATAATTACGCAGGGTTACTTCTCATGAATAGGTCAGTCCATTCATGATAGTAAGGAAGGTCACTCTCTCTCACCACAAAAGAATATATAAGCATTGATAAGTCCACGGTCTTTTGTATTAATCCTAAATTATGATCATTAAATTTGAAAATGTGATTGCTTACAATTTCCCTACGGCTCTATCTCTATCAATAAAAGGCAGGATGTGTGTGTGTGTGTGTGTGTGTGTGTGTGTGTAACGAATGCACGGCCGCAATTTTCGATGGATTTGCACCAAAATTTACATGCACATGCTCCAAGTTAGCGGAAAGGCCAAGACCGACTTTGCATTTTCCAGCTCCCATCGATAGTGGAAATAATCGATTTTTTCATGCTTCTACGGCTTCTTCTCATGTAGTTTGCGGCCATTTTGTACTGGCCAGAGTGAGAGCCTATAGCTGGCTGCCACGAAGATGCAGGAAGATTCTATTGGCCAGCGTGAGAGCCAACAACTGACTGACATGAATGTTATCTAGCATGCTAGCATGCAACAAAAATCGTTAGCTGCATTCGTCACAAATGGGAAAAATTTAAATCTGCATGGCAATTTACTCCAATTGGTTCATTCGCTTGCTTAAACTTAACGTTGATTCTGATTCCGCAGAACTGGTTGGGTGTGAAAAAGTATTTGTTGTTAACATTCTTTTTTAATTCGGGTTTTCCAATTACGAGTCCTTTTTTAAAGCTGATCGTTTTGTGTTCATTTTGTTTAGTTCTTTTTTCGTAACCGATTTAATGTTTAGTATAGGGCTTAGAAAAAATTCGCTATGTGAGGTAGTCAAGAAATAAGGCATGTAACAACATCAGCATGGCAAAGCGCACTCCTTTAAAGGCAAGGAAGGGCAAAAATATTTTAAGTCAAGTGATAGCAATTGCTGTATGAGTCGTACGATTTTTGAATCAAGCACGGGCAACGCCGGGCCATGCTGCTAGTGGTGTATAAATATAGACAATAAATCTAAAAAAAATAAAAATAAAATGGGAGACAGTCCCACCGACACATTTGACTCTGTTACAAACGTTACTGTATATTAGATAAAATGTGTTATAATAGATACAAGTGAATTGGTTTTGTTTTATTTTATGTATTTTTGCATGCTGTTGTGTAATGGATATTTGTTGGGATTGCGAAATGGTAGAGCCGATTTCAAGTTGCTGGAAAAGGTATGTATGCACCTCTTCTTCACTCCCCAGCTGTGGGTTAAATAGCAGGACGGACTGTATTCTATAGCCGTCGTTTATGAATCGAAAGTCGGTCATGAATCCTTAAAACGTGTAACCCGTATGACACTTATCTGGAGAAATGCATTTTCCATCTGTGACAACGAAATCTCATCTCATAATTGGAATGACGGTTGATACGCCATAAATCAATAAGTTGCCGGTATCATTGCTTCGGTGTAACTATTAAGAAACAGAGCTACCCATATCTAGTTTTTCTTAATCATTTGACTCGATGTAAGGCACAAAAGCCACTAAGACACAGGTGATTACTGTGTGTGAAAGAATGAGAAAGAAAGAGAAACATTACAGAGCGAAAACTATAGATGTGTAACCAAAAAGG